ATTGATTGAGTAATATTAATTTATTATAAATAGGAAGTTGGTAAGATTACTAAACAAATTATTAAAGTTATTATTATTAAGTTAAAGTTGAATTTATTTGTTAGAAAATTTAATAAATATTTAAAAGGGTAAAACTGTTCACATTTAACCATTAGATACATTCTTTTTGGACATTTTCGACCATAATATTAAATTCTTTATTTGTGAGTCCTTTATGTGCCTCTAAACTTTGCATTTGGAGTATTTTTATAACCATTTCGTTTTTCTTTATTGGAAAGAACACCCAACACGTATTGAATATAAGTATGGAAGTCCATAAGACTAACTGTTGGACAATTCTCGAGGGCCGTTTTTTGGGCCTTTTTTTTGCTAGAGCTCTTTTGGATAAATTCGGTACAAACTGGTACATCACTGACTTAATACAAAATTGAAATGCTGTATTTGAATACATCACGAAATAACAACTACGTTCTCAACAAAAAAAAAATAATGACAGTAATTTATCAATTTAACACAAATATACGTTTATATTTGAAGTATATTCGGTAACTTTGATCATGTTTGTATCATTATTTTCAAATTTCGTAAAAACAACAAATAAGCTTTTGTAGTAAGTTCATTAAAACCATTTTCATTTTGTAAACATTTCAAATATTAACAAATATAAAATATGTCACTAGTAACTAACATATCTTGATAGAACTGACTTAGGATGGGACTAAGGCCATTATTTCTCCCTCTTGTTTATTTTCTTGGTGATACATTCTGAGTCGGGGGTTTAAATCGTCATAAAAAAAATGGTAAAATACCCAAGATATTGGGGCCAATGTTACTCCAGACCAGAGAATATTGTGTACCAAACGGTTTCTAGATCTCCTCGACATTTTTCCTAAGGGTTTCTTAGGAAGTAAGCCGGCTACAGATTGTATTAATAATTTTGAACTTAGAAACATTTTAATCTGATGGTTTAATGATTGAATGAAATTGTTCTTGAATGAAGTATGCAATTTTAAATTTGATGATTATATTATGTATGTCATCACTATAATCAATTGTTTATTTTATTTTATACAAAACTACTAATGACACTTGGATCTTAACTAATATGCTAAATGCGGATGTGAATTTGTTTGTTACGATTTCACACCTTAATGCCTTAACCGATCAACATGAAACTTTGTATACATATTGTCAGGGGTTTAGAAAATGATATAGGGTACCTTTCATTCAGAAAAAAAATACTGTTCCAGAGGAACCGAAAAATTAGTTTTATGTGGTCATTGACCAACTTTGACATGTATTTCAGACGTCAATGCAAGCGAAACAGCGGATAAAATCTAGTAATTAAATAAATAAACCAATATATACACAACGTTCACACAAGAAAATATATTTTTATTTCCTAATTATAACGATTAACGATAGAAAAAGGAAAGAGGGCGTACATAGGATTTGTAGATTTAGAGAAAGCTTTTGACAATGTTAAATGGGACAAGATGTTAAATATACTTAAAAATGTAGGGATGAATTACAAAGATAGAAGAGTGATACTTAGTTTGTATAAAGAGCAACAGGCAGTTATAGAGCTGGGGATGCAACGTAGAGAAGTAAATATTAGGAAGGGAGTCAGGCAGGGATGCACACTGTCACCGCTACTTTTTAATCTATACATCGAAGACGCCATCAACATCATTAAAGACAGTACAACTGTAGGGATAGATGTGCAAGGGCAAAAGATTAGTATGCTTAGATTTGCAGATGATATAGCAGTATTAGCATCTAGCAAGGAGGACCTAGAGATAGCTTTAAATAAAATGGAAGCGGTACTGACAGATCAGTACTGTATGAAAATAAATAAAAGTAAAACTAAAATACTGATATGCAAGGGAAGAAAAAGTAGGGAAAGAGCGAATATAAAGATAGGAGACGAAAAATTAGAAGAAGTGGCTGATTTTAGATACCTAGGAAGTCAGATAAGTGAGGATGGAAGGAGTAGTAGGGATATAAAGCAGAGGATAGCGCAGGGTCGTGTCGCCTTTAATAAAAAGAAGTCACTTCTATGCTCGCGAACCGTTAATTTAGAAATTCGAAAAAGGTTGTTAAAGGTGTATGTTTGGAGCACGGCGTTGTACGGGTGCGAAACATGGACAGTGGGAGCGGCGGAAAAGAAAAGGTTAGAAGCGTTCGAAATGTGGTGTTATAGGCGGATGATGAGGATATCGTGGGTAGAAAAGGTTAGAAATGAAGAGGTATTGGAAAGAATAGGAGAACAGAGGACTCTATGGAAGTCAATAAAAAATAGGCGAGATAGGTTGGTAGGACACCTTCTCAGGCATGAAGGTCTAGTCAGAGACATATTAGAGGCAGAAACAGGAGTTAGGAGGGGTAGAGGTAGACCTAGATTAGATTACTGTTCGCAAATAGTTAAGGATGTGGGCTGTTCTAGTTTTAGGGAAATGCGAAGTTTAGCTCAGGATAGGAAAGAGTGGAGGTACGTGTCCAACCAGTCTTAGGACTGATGACCTTATGATGATGATGATGCCTAATTACTTAAAAATTAAACTCTTAATGAATCAAATATATTAGCAACCTTTATTTTAAAACTCGTCAACAAAGATCTTAAAAAATGTAAGATTACAAAGTTATGGCACAAAAGTTATGTTATTAGTTTCATATTTTTTGTAATTTTCCGCCATGGATTTCTGGGACTCTTTTAATTCTTCACTAGTGTCGTACAACAACCAACACATGGGTGCGAGAGCTAGACAAGACCAAGCAATATTTTCTATTAAATTACTCCTAGATTTTCTCATTGCGGTTTTCGGATTTTTTTTGGGCACCAAACCAGCCACCGATTGGAATAATTTCAAATTCAATCGCATTTTTTGACTATCACAACTATTTCGTTCGAATAAGTCGATAAAATGTTTTTTGAAAGGTAGTAACTTGATTAAAAAAAAAAACAGAAAACAAAAATATGCTAGTAGACTAAAAATGATTATTATTATTTCAATTACAAAATAAACGATTGGTAAGATAAAATCTATATCATCAATAAAACACGAAGGATAACAGCGCAAAATTTTATTTTTTTCTTTTAATTGAAAAGTTGATTTAAAGTTAATAAAATTTCGTATTGGTGCATCTGGTTGCCTGTATGTCGCGCATTCGCATTTAAAAAATTACGATTCAATTTGTTCAGACATGTACAAACTTTTTATGATGCCTTTTACCACCAATTAACCGTATATGGCATTATTAGAAAGGTGAAAAGTTGTTTAAATATTTACAAGCACTTGGCAATGAAATTTCTTTCTCGTTGAATTATTGATGATGACAATGAAAACGAACATAAATCAGTGTGAAAGTTAAATAAATATATGTATGCCATCAAGGCTTTAAGAAGTAGCATTTGCAAGATTTATTACTGTATAAAAACAATAAAATCCTTTTAGAATTAGTTACAGTGACAAACGTATAATGTGCCACAAAAACAGTTTGTTTTTAAATTTTACAAAGCAATCCGAACTATTATCATAAATACGAATGGGGGTTTGTTTGTTTGTTACTATTTCACGCCTTAACTATCCAACCGATCGTCATGAAATTTTGTACACGCCTTATCACAGGTACAGAAAAGGACATAGGGTACTATTTATCCAGAAAAAAGATGCTGTTCCCGAGGATTAGAAATATTAGTTTAATGCGGCCGTCAATGATCTTTGACAAGTGTTTAGAACATCAACGCGAGCAAAGCCACGGGTAAAACCTATCATGAAATTTTGTATACACATTGTCAGGGGTACAGAAAAGGACATAGGTCCAAAAATTAATACTGTTCAAGAGGAATAGAAATAAATGTGGTCGTAGATGATTTTTGTTACGAATTTAGGACATCAACAAGAGCAAAGCCGCGGCTAAAACATAGTATGGAATATATTAATAACGTTTCCTTATTCATTTATATCTTTAATTTACGTTAATTAAATTAACTTTTTATAAATGTATTTCGATTCAAAAAACTTGCATAGTCACCTGAAATGCAGTGCCTACTTAACGCCTGAAAACTAATTAAATTTTGGATATCAAAAATTTAATCTATTGTAATTCATTTAGTTATTAAGATTAGGCATTCGTTTATTGTATTTCGGTACTGGGTTACTAGATCCTTTTGTTCGATAATATAGCACGTAGATCCACGAATAAGGCATCTATTATTATTATCTACAGTTATTTTAATGTATTTATTGTATAGCTATCTAGATATGCACCTTAATTAAAATAAAATTATTATTATTTTATATTTTACTGTTATACGTTTACAAACAAAAGATGTTTCGTTTAGTGTG